CCGATGTGGGACTCGATCCCAGGACCCTGGGATCATGACCTGAGCCGAAGGCAGACGCTTAACGACTGAGCCACCCAGGCGCCCGGTTTCTATTATTCTATACAACTTTGTTTTATTTGTTACAAAGATTATTGAATGGGCCAGTTATATTTAAAAAGTATTAAGACACAAGAGCAATTTTTGTCCAGTATACATCCAGCTAAAGAGTCTTTGAGGTCTTCTCTCTCGGGTTTCCCTGTTGGCAGGATAGGGACTCGGGACGGGGAAGCCCACTGTTGTCTTGATAATCCAGCCCCGTCCTCCTCCTGGGGCATGTCCCTGGCTCCTTGTCTCCTTTCTGGGGAGGCTCTCTTCGGTGGATGTGGCACAGCAGATGCATAAGGGGTTGGAGGAGAGATGGAGATTGACAACCAAGCAGCGGGTGTAAATGAACTAACCCCTGGCCCTCATCAGGAAGATTAGAACGCTTTGTAGACTCAGAGAGACCCCTTGTTTCCAGTTGTTTGGCTCTCACGGTACAGTAGTTGGATTGACTCAGCCTGTTAGGGAAGTGGGTCCTTCTGGTTGTGGAATGTTCTCCTGAACAGAGCTAACGTCTCACGCATCCTGTGCACATCTCTCCTGCGTCTTGTCCTCTCTCCCCAGCCTCCCCCAGAGGTTTGCCACTCAGGAGCGCAGCTCACTCACTCCTAGGAGTTGAGCCTGTTTGGCCAGTAATTCCCAAGGGGCGTTTGACTTTAAGTCTCCGAGCCCTTAAAGGAATCAGCCTATTCCTTCCTGCTTCTGTATCTCCGACTTCTTAGGGAAGAATCAGAGGCTGAAACTGTGGAGGATGATTTATTAATTGAGAAATGAGATCACTAAAATTTGGGCAACATGCCCCAGTAACAGGGCCTTCAGCCAGATGTGTGAGGCACTGGGAAACCTTGCTGCTGAATTTGACCTTGAGACACAGTCTGTCCTTCTGTTGTGTACAGTTGTCCTTTACTGTTAAACATAAGTTTGGGGTTTTTACTTACATTTTTTTATTCCTCCTTTCCTTCTTAACATGTCCCCCTCATGTTTGTATGTATATACGCATATACACATGCATTCACATGGGATTTCCATGACATTGCAAGGTGGAAAGCAGCAACAAAGCCTGTCCTTGGGAACTTTCTGATTTTTAAAATTGTAAATAATGTTGTCTCCCCATTTAGAATTGGACTTTCAAGCCACCGACTAGGAAAAATCCCTGGGGAGTCTGCCTTTGTGTCAGACTTCACTGCAAAACAGGCATCCCTTGTTTTCGGAAAGCATGATAAGGAGTACGCTTAACCTTACAGGCTTGGTGAGGGCTCCTCATGCGTGGCTGAGGTGTAGCCCCCTTGGGGCCTGACACGTGTGGCTGAGCTCTGTCAGGACATCCTGAGCCCCTGACAGAGAAGAAGGTCAGGGAACAGGGTTGTGGAATTTCCAAGTCCATCAGGGGTCCTCTAGCACTGTGACTTAGACCTGCGGTCACAGGTGCCACAAACTCAACTTGTCCCCAGCTGAGTCACCAGCTTTGTCCTCCTCGTGTGCGGGCAGTGGCTTTTCCTGGAAACCTACAACGTCTCCTTTCCTTCCACACCGAGAGTCACTACGTTTTGTCCTTCTGACTTCAGGTTCTTTACCTCTTTCCATTCCCGCGTAGCGATGGATGCTGGGGGCTCTGAGCGACGCCCCGTTCCTTAGCGTGGATTCAGGCTCCTTGGTAGTCTGGCCCTGGTCTGTCCCCACCTCCTCTCTTAACTGCTCAGCTCGTTTCCCGGGAATGCTCCAAGCTCATGTCCCGGTGCTTTTGACTCATGGTGGATGGTCTCCCTCAGTGCTAGGGTTTAAGTTCCTCCAGGGAAAAGACTCAATCCTGCGTGTCATTCATCTTTCTGCCCCACCGCCTGGTACAGAGGCTGCCAGATAGAAAGTGCTCATTTAAAATTCATTTGTTCCTTCGCCTTCTCTTTACTGAGCAACCTACCAGGTGCCGGGCACCGTTCCCGACCCCGGGGTGCTGCAGTGACTTCTCACGGAGCTTGCATTCTGGCCACGGTGAAGCAGGCAGTCAACGAATGAATGGATAATGCCAGATGTTGTTCGGGGAAATGGAAAAAACTGGAGCAGTGTTGGGGATCGTGGGGAAGGGGTGGTGTTTGATACGGTGCGTAGAAAAGTCCTTTGAGAGGTGACCGTTGAGCAGGCACCATGAATCCAGATGAGGGGGCACCTTGCACGTGTGTCGGGCGGGAGCCATCCACACAGGGGACACGGCAAGTGCAGAGGCTCCGAGGCTCCCCCGGGGAACAGCCAAGGGTGTGTGTGGCCCACCGAGTGAGACGAGGCGGTGACACGGGAGGTCAGCAGGGTGTGGGCGGCGGGCGCGCGCCAGGGCTGCGAGGGCCACGGATAAAGGGCTGGAATAGTGTTCCAAGGGTGGTGATG